ACACTCTAAATTGTCCCTGGGTGTGAGTGTGAGTGTGCATGGTTGTTATCTGTGTGTGCTCTGCGATGGGTTGGCAACCGGTTCAGGGTGTCCCCTGCCTACTGCCCAAAGACAGCTGGGAGAGGTTGCAGCATGCCCTGTGACCCTTGTGAGGATAAAACAGATCAGACAACAGATGGATGGATAAAGTAGTAAATGATGATGTAACTTTTATTTTTTACAAAAAGTGACATATATTTCAAGAAATCTGACTTACTGCCCCTGCGAACCAACACTGGATAAGCAGTAGATAATGGATGGATGGACGGATGGGTGGATGGATAACTTTGTAGTGGAAAAAAAAGAGCATTCCATGGTTGGAAGATTTGCTTGATTTATTAAGATTTTATTTTTTAATATTTCTGTGGATTTTTTAAATTACCGGTAGTATTTTTATTTAATTTTCTTGCTCTGCCAGGGGATTTTGTTCAATTTTTAGAAAAAGACAGAACATATATTACTTTGTATGTTTTTATATTTTTGGTGTTTCTATAATTTTGCCTTCAAATTATTTGGCTTAATAATTGAAAAAAATCTATACAACATATGTTTTATCGTTTAGTGAGAAATAAATTAAGATTAATATTTTGTATTAAAAATGTACGGTATATTCAGAAATTATTTTTTAACAACTTTCTTATTTATATATTTTTGATATGTGTTTAGATTTTTTATTTTTATTTTTAAAGATTACAAATCTTTCCTTGGCTTTTGCAATGTATCATGTTACGAACTGCTTATCCTCGTGGGTGTGCAGAAGTATTTTTTCGGTAGCATTTTTGGTACACCCTAAAAATGTGTTAATAATACAATATAAATTGTATGAAATAACAAAAAGCTCCAGCTGACCTGCTAGATAAATATAAAACATTTCTTCTGAGAATGTAAAACAAGTGGCTGTAGAAGTCAAAATAGTAATATAAGTAATGAGATGTAAAGCTGCTAGACATGCTTGGGAATGGAATCTGTTGGCTAAAGGGACGGTCCTGCATTGACAACTGGTCAGCAGTCAAAGGGAGGGCCCGGGTCAGCAGTGTGGTCCACAACAATTGGATCATTATTTAGCCAAAAGGGACACCTGTTTTGTTTGTGGCGGGCTGTCACGTGGGAGGGCAATGAGTCGCACACAGCTGAACAATGTGCGGAGGCACTTTCTTACGCCACAGCAAAATTAGTCAGTCACATTTTTCTAATTCCAGATTCATTTTTCAGTGCTAACATTTCATTCATAGTATACAGCAGTCCCCCCCCCCCGTCGAAGGGATTATGTTCCAGATGAGACCACACCTGCAAAAAAGTTGCATTTGTTATATAGAAACACCCTCTTTAAATACACCCTGGCATGTTTTCTATCATTTATGGCACTTTTTTAAAGGTCTTTCAACACAATTTTACAATAATATGAACACATTTGAACGCATTTGAGAGAGAGTAAGAGTAATGAATAACACAAAAGAATTGTACAAAGAGTGTAACATTGTCCCGATCTTGTGTTTCAAGTGAATAATACTCTTTTTTTTTTCTTAAACTAACAAACTTATTATCTCACAATATACAGGTATGTCAATAATCATGTCCAGAGATGTACATTATAAAATAAAGCAACAGCGCTCACTTTCTGAGAGGTAAAAAGCAAGAATGAAGGGGATTGGCCTTCAATAATATATAGCAAAAACTAGACAGAGCAGAAATACTCCACTTCCTGTTTTCAATGTTCTTATTTAGTCAAATATACAGAGTAAAATTGAATAGTGTACCACAATCTAGTGGTCGACAGTGGAATTACAAACAAGATAGAATTATGAACCGCACAAAAAAAAAAAAAAGCAAAGTAGCGGGACTGCAAACCCTGAACCCACGATGGAGGCGATAAAATGGATTTTGCTGTTTAAAAAAGTATACAGTTGTCTGTGTATATCGGCACATTTCTCAGTAAGATGAAGACGTTCCCCCTCACAGTGTTCAGCTGCCCCCAAGTGACTGTCTGAAACACAAGCTGTGACTGACACAAGTATTTGCACTTCTTTTATACTGCTAGCTGTCTGTAACCAATATGCATCATTATCACTATTTGTTTTTAACAGCCTTAAACTGTGTTTTTCATTTTAGAATAAAAATAAAAATAAATCAAATAAAATAACATTAAATAAGTTTTGTGCACAAAAATACAATTTCTAATTTTGTTTTTACCTTTGTTCATAGAAAATGCAAGTGTTAATCTTAACGCAACTAGACTTGATGTCACTGTAGTTCTAAACCTGAAAAAAAACCCTCTTTGAACACAAACAGTAGTAACATATGCGAACAGAGCATACAATGATACTGTACTCCCTCTATCCATTAGCTGAGCTACTTATCCTCATGAGGGTCATGGGCAACCCAACAGTCTTTGGGCAGCAGGCGGGGTACACCCTGAACTGGATGCTAGCCAATCACAGGGCACACATAGACAAACGTCAACCACTCACACTCGCAATCACGCCTAGGATAATATAGAGTGTTGAGTGACCTACCATGGATGTGTTTTTCTTTTTTTTTGGAATGTGGGAGAAAATCGGAATACCCGGAGAGAACCCACGCATCCTTGAGGAGATCATGTACACTCCACACAGGAAAGCCGGAGCCCATGTTCGAACCCTGGGCCTTTGTACTGTGAGGTGGACGTGCCGCCCAGTCAACCACAATGATACTCACAGGCATTTATTCTTTATCCTCTGTGGGTTTTCTCCACACACTCCGATTTCCTCCCATGTTCCCCAAAAATGCACGGTGGGTTAAATTTGAGTATGAATGATTGTTTGTCTGTATGTGCCCTGACATTAGTTGGCGCCCAATTCAAGGTGTACCCTGTCTCTTGCCCAAAGTCACTTATGATAGGCTCCAGCATGCCCGGATATGTCTGTATATATTTTACCGCCGCCTGGTGGCCGTGGTGTGCAACCCAGATTACTATTATTATTTTCTTTTTTTACATTATTATGTAATATCCATTCATCCATTTTCCTGACCCGCTTATCCTCACAAGGGTCGCGGGGCGTGCCTTCATATGTAATACTGATTTTTTTTAAAAAATAAAGTACAATAGTTTAGAGTGATAATTTTCTAATTCGATTTTTTTGTGTTTTTGGTGCACTGGAAACGATTACTGTAATGTAATTTCAATGAGGAAAGATATGAGTTACGAGCATGGTCACTCAGGAACGAATTAAACTTGGAAGTCAAGGCACTACAAGACATAAAGTGCGCACTATTTGGGGACAAAAATGACTATACAATGTCACAATATATTAATTTGTGTCCACGAAAAATTATAACGTGCGCAAAAAAATGCGAGTTTGTGTTCTATTTACAACTTGGACGTCCTGGTGATCAAGTGGAACGCGCATTTACCAGAAAGTACACTCGAGTTTCTGAAGCCTGTCCAGGAATTATACAAATTTTATGGTGTGCATTTTATACCTACTTCAAGACGACAATTTAGCATTTTGTAGCCACAATTTTATGTCATCTTCGGTTTGTACTCTCACAACGGAAGATGGGAATAAATTGCTCAGGCTTTGACAAAAAAAAAAAAAAAATCGTTTCTTTTTTTTTGGAGGGGGGGCGGTGGCCGCCTGTTTGCGTCAGAGTTGTGGTGTCACGTGACCAGAGCAGGAAGTGTACCGCTCAGGTTCACAAACGTTGACACGAAATGGCACACTGGTACGTATAAGTATTTTTTTAACTCTCATATTAGTCACCTATGTGTGTAATATATTCGCCGCTAAGCCACTTGGTCTAACCCCTCCACCCCCTCGGCAAAACACGTCACGCAAACGCGAAAACTATTACGTCAAAGCGGAAATGGAGTTTGACAGTTAGCAGGTGGAATCAACGATGTCCCAAGTTTTTCCGCCACTTTATGGAAAAATATGCAGATAAATCACGGCATTCATAAGTTTCGTTTTAGTCTTGTCGTACAGTTGTTTGCGTGTGGTGACATTCATTCAAGTCATGTACAAACGCTCCAATATAGTTTAAAGGAAAAATAATGGAGCATAAGGTTAAGAGCAGCACTTTTGTTGCAAAATAAAAAGAACCAGGTTATCATGAAAATGCAGAAGTGTGCGTGTTCCACATTTTGTTAGTATTCGGTAAACTTTATGAGGTATAGCGTGATCTAGGTAAGTCTGGCTTGGTTGAAACTGGCATTATGTTGAAAGGCTTCAGTCTAAAAGTAAGAAACACTCCTAATGATTTCACCATTAACATTTTTTTAAATGTGAGAGATACCATGCATGGCGAGGAAAAAGTTCACAAGTGTGTGCTCACTGCTTGTATAGCGATTAGGTTACTTGAGATTAACAGTACAGTACACCACTCATACAATATTGCAGATGGCAGACAACGTGTGGGTGAGTGGTTTGTTGATTTCGATATTGTGGATCGAGTGGCCCAAAGTGGTGGTGGGCCTATGGTTTGGGCAGGCATATGTTATGAGCAACAAACACAGGTGTGTTTTATTGATGTGCACAGAAATAGCGTGACGAGAGCCAGAGGTCCATTGTTGTGCCATTCATCCACCACCACCACCACCACCAGCATGATAATGCATGGCCCCGTGTTGCGAAAGTCTGTAAATAATTCCCGGAAGCTGAAAACATCCTGGTTGTTGCATGGCCAGCGTACCCACCGGACATGCTACACATTGAGCATGTTTGGGATGCTCTGGATTACTGTCAAGGACAGCATGTTCCAGCTCCTGCCAATATCCAGCAACTTTGCACAGCCATTGCAGAGGAACTGGACCAACATTCCATAGGCCACCATGAACCTGATCAAAACTATGCCAAGGAGGTGTATTGCACTGTCTGAGGCAAATGGTGGTCACACCAGACACTGTCTGTTTTTCTGATATTGTAAAAACGTCTCAAACTTAATTGCTAAAAACTGCAAGACAGTATAGCCAGGAGGGGAGGTGTGGGGGGGGGGGCAGTATTTTTGTGCCATCTTATTGATGTAAAGACTCATGTCAAAATCTGCGTTCAAATAACAAATGTCAGTGCTAGACAATGCAGCATCGGAATGGCTGGCCTCGCCATTGCGGCATCACATGGGTCCGTAGAAGATCTTGTGAGGTCCTGAATGAGCGCAGTGTCTTTCGATGAAAGTATGGCCATTTGCTGATTAATGTGTGCAAATCAATTCATTTGTAAAAATGAGCAGAATCCATTAGTACAAGCAACACAGTGTTTGAAAGGCTCTGCAAGCGACCGCTATCTGAGTTCTGTCCCTGCGGCGGCGATGCATGCAAATTTGGGTTGCAAGTTCTGCATCAGCAGAACAGTTTGCCAGTATGTCATTATCGTCAAATATTTGTAGAGCAGCCCTTTCAACATCACAGGTGAATCAGAACTTCAAATAAGTAGCTGTTGAGCTGGCCTTTTGCCATTTGTTTTTATCACTGTAAACTGCATATTTGGCATCCAGAGTCCCACAATGCCCTGTGTAGTATGTCCAATAAAATGCAAGCTCCAGCTTGCCGACTGTGCTGACAACAGTGTAACATTGCTTGTTGAGAAGTAATGCATGAGCTTGCTGATTAGTTATCTTTCACTTCTAATAGTAGTGTGTGTGTATCCTGGCAAAAATGTACTGTGTGTATTATAGGGCTGCCAAACCAGACCCTTCAAAAGTCACTTCGAAGATCGACCTGGAAAGCTACAAAAAGAAAAAGCGTCTGGAATCAATTTCACTATTCTACATGAAATTTATCATAATGTGATGCATGAAAAAGTCTGAAGGAACCATACCTAAAGTTTAACAGGAAGTCGGCCATTTTAGACGACTTCCAAGGCTCAAAAGCACAAAATCCTACCATGGAATTTGTGCAAATGAGCCCCAGTTTGGAAGGTGTGCTTGACAAATGGGTGATGCTAAATTGACAAACACTTTTTAGGTACACCATGGATGGAGCATGACATTAACATTTGATGATTATTTTGAGGATTCACTGTGAAAAAAAAAGTGATTACGGGCCCACTCAGCTTTAATTCTCGCTATTTCCAAATGTGATGCACAACAAATGCTGTTAACTTAATCGTTAAATACTGGTATTTATTTATTTTTTTCATATGTAGCAACGTTTGATGTTTTTACTGTAATGTTGTCTCTCCCCATTTTGCCCAATACTTGACTTCATCTTCTCGGAAATCAGCAGGGTCGTTGAACTTTTCTCGCCTACTATGGACAGCGGTACTATTGTACCGAGAGAAGCTTAGTGCCCCTGAGCAAAGTACAAAGTTCCCACCAGTACAAATCCCACTGGCTGGTGTCCCCGGATCACTACACTCATGACAACGCAACACAAGAATTGGTAGCTCTCGTTTTGACTTTCCCAAATTGCAGCGGAGCATTTCAGTCTTCTTTTTACCACCGCGTCGGAATTTTGGGTAGGTTCGATTTCATTTCTTAATATCCTTGTTGAATTTAGATTTACGTTGATTACTGACATCAAATGTATTTTTTGATTGTCTAGTCGATACAGGGCAAGTGTAAGTGTAGCCCCCTTCATGTTTTCAGGTACTTTTCAATGTAATATATACTTTGCGCAAGTCACTTTGTATATACAGTGTGCTATGGAGTCAACCTTATTTATGTCGCCAAATCACATCACCCATTATCTCAAGACACTTTGCATGTAAGAGCAGGGCTAAGACCAGGAAAACTTCCTCTGAGAAAGAAAGAAGCCAAGACTCGGTGTGTGTGTGTGTGTGTGTGTGTGTGTGGGGGGGGGGGGGTCGTATGTTTGCCACATACAAACAAGCGAAAATGGGGAAAGCAAACAGACTCCACACAGAAAAGCTTGGGACCCCAAATCTTAGATATGTGAGGCATGCATGATCTCAAAGCCCCACCATGCTGCCACTATCAACATCATTCATTCATTCATTCATTCATTTTCCGAACCGCTTGATCCTGACAAGGGTCGCGGGGGGTGCCGGAGCCTATCCCAGCCGTCTTTGGGCAGTAGGCGGGGCACACCCTGAATTGGTTACCAGCCAATTGCAGGGCACACAGAAACGAACAACCATTTGCGCCCACACTCACACCTAGGGACGATTTTGAGTGTTCACTCAGCCTGCCATGCATGTTTTTGGAATGCGGGAGTAAACTGGAGGACCCGGCGAAAACCCACGCGAGCACGGGGAGAACATGCAAACTCCACACCGGAAGGCCGAAGCTGGAATTGAACCCAGTATCTCTGCACTGTGTAGTCAACGTGCTAACCACTCAACGACCGGGCCGCCCGATCAACATCAGCGAAGCATTTAATAAATAAATCAATCAATCAATCAATCAATCAATCAATCAATCAATCAATCTAAACAGCCTTTTCATTGATTATTGGATTCCTGTTTTATGATGTCTGATTTCGGAACTCATGAAAACTGCTCGATTATCTGTCCAGCTTTGCACTACTGTAGTTAGGTTATTTGTAACTGCAGTTGTGATGTTCTTCTGTGCTGTTGATGGGGTGCAATTGCAAATAGTTGGAAGCGACTCCTGAAAGCCGTCCATCGGTTTACATTCCTACTGTCAATGTGTCAGATGATTTTGTAGGTTTTCAAACAGGTCACTATTGTTTCTTTTGTCACCAAAGCACGTCTGATTTACAGAATGTATTCATTTTTTTAATCTTAAACCAGTATTGCAGCTAGTAAATTGTGCAAAATACCTCCTCAAGAACTGTACAACTTATGACAGGGTCTTAATGACGATGCATTTCTGTTTCTATCCAGGGTTTGGACACTTTAACACCACAGCATGTACGCGACTACACTTCTGATTCTGCTCGCTCTGTGTGCCAGCGGAGGACGTGGAGAAGAGAAACAAAGTCGCGGCCACGTTTCCGTGGTGGTAGTTGGGGGCACAGGGGACTTGGCGAAGAAGTACCTCTGGCAGGGCTTCTTCCAGTTGTACTCGAATCAAGTCAACAGGAACAGTTTCTCTTTCTACGCTGGTGGAATGTCGCCCGCGGACAAGGCCATGCCGATATTCTTTGGTATCCTGAAGGCGGTGTCGTGCCCGAAGGATGTCTCTGATGAACGCTGCGCCTTACTCAAGGAGCAGTTCTTGCGGCTAGCGCAGTATCGGCAACTCAAGAGCCCTGATGATTACCGGGATTTGGCCCAGCAAATTGAGCAGCAGGCTCAGGAGGAAGGGCTAACCGAGGCCGGACGGCTATTCTACCTCTCTGTGCCGGCATTTGCGTACGCGGATATCGCGGATAAAATCAACGTCAACTGCAGGCCTGTTGGCGGGGCGGCTTGGCTCCGAGTGGTTCTGGAGAAACCTTTTGGACACGACCTGAGGAGCGCTCAGGTGCTTGCAGCTCAGCTCGGGGAGGCCTTGCGTGATGAAGAAATGTACAGAATTGACCACTACTTGGGAAAGCAGGTGAGGACAACCGTGTAAATGTCATTTGCTAATCTGCGTTTGATTGGTTGCTTTTTCTGCTTGTGCTGTACATCAGGTGATCTCAAAGATCCTTCCATTCAGAGTAGAAAACAAGAAGTTCCTGGATCCCATCTGGAACAAGCACCACATTGAGAGAATAGAGATTGTACTGAAAGAGACTCTGGATGTACAAGGTAATCCAACTTGGCACCATAATCAACGGTGCGGTAGTGGTGAGAGCCTCTGCATCATGGTCAAGAGTTCAGGGTTTGAATATCCACATCTCTTTGTAGTTTGCATGGTCTCCCCATGTTTGCGTGGCTTTTCTCCGGGTACTCGCTCTTCCACTCCCAGCCTAAAAAGCACGGTTCCCATTGGTGTGTACAGATATTTGTTTGCCGGAATGTACCTTACAATTTACACCTCTTAGTCCATTCTGGACTGGTTGCCAGTGAATAACATGGCACATCTATTTTCTGGAGTGCCTAACCCATCTGAATTTTGATAAAATAATTGGGGTACACCACATACTGGTCGACAGTGAATTGCGGGAGACAGGGAAACTAATCAAGTTAGGTTTATTTATATAGCCCTGAATTAATCACAAAAGAGTCTCAAAGGGCTCCACGTTTGCAAAATATTAACAACATCCCATGGTCTACATGCGGGGAGAACATGCAAACTCCACACGCTTTGGATGCTCCATTGTATTCTGCATGTGTCCTTGTCATTATTTCCTCCTAGGTCGTATTCCCTTCTACGACCAGTACGGCGTGATCCGAGATGTAATCCAGAACCACCTGACGGAGGTCATGGCTCTCCTAACCATGCGGCTTCCTACCAATGTCACTGACAGCAAGGAACTTCTCCAAAATAAGCTGCGGCTCTTCAGTTCTTTGTTGCCCCTGGGCAAGAATCAGGCAGTGGTCGGCCAGTACCAAGCATACCAAGCCGAGGTTCAGCGGGAGCTCAACAAGACCAAAGACCACGTCAGCATCACGCCAACATTTGCAGGTCAGAATGGCAGATGTTTTGATGAGAAATACTGAAGTGGCTTCTTTTTTTTTTTTTTTTTTTATTTTGGGCTGACT